GTTTGTTGAGTAAAATTAGGGAAATCAGAATTGATTTGATTTCCTTCCGTTTTTAACATCTTCATCGACCCAAATATTGCGCAGATACGTTACGTATTTAGCGCTGCATACGTTTGAATACAGGTAAATACATTTCAGAAATAGCTGGATTTCCTTTTTGTACGCCGCTAATTTTTGTTGTATTATTAAATACACTAGCTTAAATAAATTAAATACATTATATAATTGCATAAAAGATATCTATAGGACGTAATATAGCAAAGGGTTTCTATTAATTGATAATTAGGACTAAAAAATGGTGCTTTGTGAAAAATTCTCTTGATATCACCCAAAGATACCTCGACTAATCTATTGAGTATATTAGATCTTCATCTAATGCAGCTAGAGAGTAATTTTTCTACCAAAAAACATAAACAAATGAGAAGAATCACCTAGCTATATGAATTTTCCACATTACCTTCCCTTCCCTTCCTTAACCAATTTGCCACACGTATGTAACATAACACACGATAAAGTCATCACTGAAAATATTTGCATTAAATTTTAAAGATATTTGCACAAAATTTCAAAGTTAATCAAACACAAGAAACTAGACATAGCAAAATATCCACGCCGTACTAGAGATGGAGCCAACTTCTTGTAAGGTTCAGAAACGTGAAGATTAATTGCGTCAACCCAACTGAATATAGCGACAATTGACAGGGTCTACCATCACCATGTCTTTCTTAAGTCAAAAATGTCATGCTACGATTTTTGCTTTTCTTTTATATTTTCATTTTTATTCAAGAAAATTAAACTAATAACATGAATAGTCAACAATGACGGATTAAATGTAAATAGTTGAAAATTGGAATCTCTTACCAACAAAACAAACTCATCAAAAATGATTGGCAAAACCAAAGGGTGACAAAAACAGTGCACATGTAACTCTCAAGTCTCCATTCAATGACTCACCAACTTAGGATACTAAATCATACCCACATAGACCAAGAAACAAGCAAACAAAACAGAAAACAAACGAAAAACAATCAGTGGAAACAAACCCTTCCCCACCTCAAAGAAAAAAACCCATAGTTTCTGCCTTCTGGCTTCGCTTTCTCCCTACTTTCAGCTCATTTCCCTGCTTTTTCCCCCCCTTTACTTCACCTTTCCTCTCGTAATGACAAGTCCCGCCAATCAGAGTGTGCTGGAGTGGTAAGTTCCCCTTCATCCTTAACCAGGGATCTCGGGTTCGAATCCTTGGATATGGAGTCGTTTTTGTTATAGAGCGCTTTACCCCCAACGTGGAACTTTCCGACTTGAATCCAGATTTAATCGGATTCCCCAATATAGGAATCGTACGCAGGTGGGAACCAAAAAAGAGACAAGTACCACCCCCACTTTCTCATGTCTATATTCAGTGAGTAACCTACACTTTTTTTACCATAAAAAAAAAGAGACTCTTGGATAAAGAAGAGAGCAATTCAAAGTGAGCATTAAAAGTGGTCTTGACTTTGGATGCCCAACTGAATAATGATTTTCTCTCTTTTAGGTTTTAGTCTTCATTTTGGTGGACCCTATATTTTTTTCCTTGGAACACCACTTTTTATTAAATAATTCCTGTGGCTGAGACTGTTTGCCCTTTAGGTCATCAATACCTGTAATCTATAATTACTCCTACATATTTGACTGGATTGCAATTCATTCTTAGAATTCAATATCTGGCTTCTTCTTACCAGCAAATTGCAATTATTGTGCAAGACTTTTCATCCCTAAATCATTTTTGAAATTGATACTCTCCTATTTCATATACTATTTCTTTTTTAGTCCATTTCAAAATGAATGGTATATTTCTAAATTATGAAACAATTACTTTTAATGACAAATTTTTACATTCACATATATGTTACGACAAGTCTAAGATTACAAGTTTTAAAAATCTTATAATCACTCAAATATTACACCTTCAAAATCTTCTCTTTTGAAAAAATCTATACGTGTTTAGTCAGAGTACGTCATATAAATTGAGGCAAAGGTAGTACTATTTTTCTCAATCACTAGTGATGACTGGTTGACCTTCAAGGGACATACTGGGGAACAAAGGAGAAACAAGCACTAAACTTTAGTAAATGTAGATCATGCAGGAAATAGTAAAGAAAAGGATAGAAAGCACCAACTCAGAATCTAGGAGTTGTGAAGGGTTTTTATGTTCCCATTAAATCATAGATTTTGACTATGTTTTTATCAGAAAAATGATGAAAACATTGTGTTTATGAAATATCATTATGTTTTGGGAAGAAAAAAATTCAAAAATTTTCAAGTTCCCAAAAGAGCCGGCTTTTGTGTGAAATTTTTCTTTCCACTCACAAAATTTCAAATTTTTCTTCAAATAAAGTGAACGTCCAAACAGAACTTCAACTTTCAAAGTATTAGTTTTCTAACACAACTTCAAAAACTCTTTTTTCCAATTTCAATTAAATTTACGTCAACGCTAGCTAAGTCGTTGGTAAGCTGCAAGTAGTTCACAATGCTATTGCCTTAGCATTATTTACCCATAGAAGTTCGAACACATCAGTGTAAGTTTTCTAGGTAAAATAGTACCATCAGACTTTCTACAAAATTTCTACTCCTATCCTAGTGTAACTTGGACAGGTCCTATAATCTACTTCTTTAAGCATTTTATAATTTCCTTTTTTTATCTTCTTTGATCACTTGTACACACAGCTCCAAAGGCTGGAAAGGCTTACTGATAAATGTTTGATCATTGAGTCAATCCTTGAGCATCTCAAAGCATAATGATCCAAATAAAGGCTAAAGTTTGAATCTTTTCACCCAACTTTAGTTAGAGCAAAAGTTAATAGCTTTTTAATATTTTCTTTTACAACTTAAAAGATGTCAATGGACTATCATGCTTTTTTCTTTAGGCATCCAATATAAATAACTGTGTGGTCCGACTAATTCAAATTAGTACCAAGTAAATTTACTAAATAAGATAAAGCACTTTATAGTTTATACAAAAAAGTCAGACGCTATGTGCGGGTCTAGGGAAGGACCCGACCTTAGTTACTACATTTTTGTAAGAGGTTGTTTTCACGGCTCGAATCTGTGAGGTCACATGGCATCAACTTTATCGGTAACCCAAACCTATTGTAAAGAAATTCTTTATTCCTGGGGCTTGAAACTGCTACTAGTACACAGGCTTCATATATCCCAAATATCTTATGCTAACATGTTAATGATATTACAAGACAGGAGAAATAACCCAATGCTTACAATAGAAGCATTGTACACAAAGACAATGCCTCTTTTCTTGGCATCTTTAACCAATTGCTATCGTGGACAAGGAAAGAGTCAAGATTCCTTGCCCTTTCGTCTACTCTACCGTCGACAGCTAGGCCCCTTTGCTAATCCCCATTCATAGCACCCTCTCTCCTTACTGTTCACTCATGTGAACTCGCTAAATTTTATAAAGAAAACTTTTATGGCCAAAAGTTGCAATTCATATACTATCATTTACTCGGTCTTCCAGTAAATGAATTATAAAGAACTCCTGATTATACCAAATACGGGAACAAAGATAACTTGAATACAGAAGACCATATACAGTATACTAAAGGGCAATATCAAAAAAAAAAGGATCACATTTATACAGTGTAGAAGCAAAAGGTTGCTGCCCGTTTCATATATTTTTTTCCTCATTTCTCCAAATTGTCCAATACAAATATATGACAACATCTGGCTTCCACCTTGATTCCAGATCATATTCTATGTTGGTTTTATATGAAAATCATACATAAGATGAAGCTCAAAAATTAAAAGAGGGGGAAAAAACAAAAAAGAAAGCACATTTAAGAATCAGAACTGGAGGAACCTGAGACTCTAGGGGAAGTCACCGGAAACAAAGGCAAAAGTCGGGGCTCCGATTCCCTCGGAGTAGTCGCCGGCGATGGATGCAAAAAGAATCCTTTTTTTGCAATTGCTTTCTCTTCTGCCTCCAAATCCAAATTCTCACTACTCATACTTACACCACCACTGTGCGGTGACCGGTTAAACGGGTCGTGTATGAGAGGAGTAACCGGGCTAAGCACCAGCGAAGGAAAATCAAGAATGCTCGGCGACAAAATCTCCGGAGTCGCAGTTCTCGGGGAACCCGAAAACCCAGCAGAGAAAACGGATTTATTCACAACCCCAGGGCCCAATGGGCTGATTTTGAAGTTCTTCATGCTGTTCCTTCTCTCATACAACTTCGAGCTGGATTTCTCCTTTCTGGGCCCAGTTTTAATGGGCGGGATCGGATGTCTAACGGGCTCAGCACGACCCGGATTAGCTGCAACCTTGGCGGTTTCAGAGGACCCAGTAAGCATTTGAACTACCTGTTTGAAAGAGGAAGCGTCAGCTTGGACGAAGGTAGTCGGGTACGGGTTGTTGGGTTCGGATCTGGTGATGGGTAGTTGTGGTGGTAGTGCTGGCGGAGTAGCAGGTGTTGGGGTGGTGGGCGGTGTAGGGTAGCGGTGGTGAAGACCATTGGAGTTGCCGCTATTGCTACAGCTTGAACTGTTGGAGCTATGGCTATCTGGGGATGAAATAAGACATGGGTTTCTAAATTCTTGAGGTTTTGCTAATGTTTCCATTGATGGGTCTGTTTTTTCTAGAGAGAGAAAAAAACCAGTAGAGTTAAGGTGAACTTTAATAANTAGGGGGAGAGAAAGAGTTGAAGAATGAGGGAGAGATCAGATGGAAGTTTGGCATTTTTGCATCACTTTGTTACTTTCTTTAGTTTGGTAAGAAATGTTTTGTTGCAAACTGAGGGGCATTCCTACACGCGCTACTTCGGCGCGTGAGTGATACAACCAAAAGAATACCGGCGATTTCTTCAGTGGGGGAGGCAGTGGCGGCTTTAAGTGGTGGTACGCGGCGGTGAAGGGCGGTGGGAGTGAAAATCCAGCTGGTACCAGGCTATTGGTGATTGATCATTGGAGTTTAGACCAAGGGAGATAATATAAATAAAAATTTGTGAAATAAGTTTCAATGTTTGCCATTGACTTAAAGGGCCCTACTTGAAATTGATAGCTGACTATAGTCATGTAAAATATATGAGGCGGGTCCTATTCTTTGTATTTGTTTTTATTTTTTATTTCTGTGTGGTCTTTGGCTTTGGGGAGTGCAAGTGGTGCACTAATCAAGGTTAGAATGAAGGCTTGAAAATAATTACTATAATATTAACTGTTGATTCTTTCTCTGATTGATCCAACGTAAACATTAAATATTTTGAAATAAATTTAATTTATCAATATCTAATAAGTGATAAAGGGAGTACGTACATATTTTTTCTATTTCAACCAAATATTATCCAAGCATCTATCTTCTCATTGATAATCAGTGATAAAACACGAAAACGGGGTAACTTGCCTTTTGTTTTCATTTTCATCGATAATTTTCCCACTTGAGTAAAAAACTACTAGCAGTTTGGACATAAGAATTTTTTTTACTTTTTTCAAAATTAATGTTTGCCCATAAAATTTTCAATTTTTACTTGAAAATGAATTTTAGAATTTTTTGAAAATTTGAAAAACTCCAAAAAGTTATTTTTTGGAGTTTTTCAAAATTCACTCAAGTCACCCACAAAACTTCAAAAACAACCTAAAAGTATATTGATGCACAATATTAATTTTCAAATACCATTTTTCACATGAATTTTTTTTTCACTTTTTTTTGAAATTTTATAATTCTTATGTCCAAACACCCACTAAACACACATTGGTTCTTAGGAGTAATTTCTCTTATTATACTATAGATAAGTGTCTTGTCACACACATTTTTTTCGAATGATAAAGAAAAACTAAGTAATCTTTGAATATGGTTTTCCAGTTATTATTTCAATATTCAAATCAATTAAAATGAGCATTTTCATGGCGAGCCCCATGATATTTTAATAAATAAATGTAACAATAGCTTCTTATTATTAATAAGTTTAACAGAACTGTAATGCATAAATCACATGTAAATAAATACCAGTTAACTTTGACCATTTATTTTCTATTAGTCAGCCCAAATAATTGACATTTGCATTTAATAATTAACCAGTAGCTTTCGGAACTAACTTTCTACAACATTTTAGCAAGTTGGCCACATTTTTGTTGACTCATTTGTTATCTTGTTATTTAGGTTTTGTCACAAGTAACAAATTGCCGAATTTCGCATATGAAAATACTACAACAACAATCCAGTATAATCTCACTTATTGGGGTAGAGAGGCAGGTTATTTCCAAATAGAGCCTCGATATCCTACCCTCCAAAAACTTACCACCTTACTCTTGGAGAGGCTCAAACTCGCAATCTCTTGATTGAAAGTGGAGGTTGTTTACAATCATAGCAACCCCTCTTGTCGCATATGAAAATAACGGCTCATATATTCGTACTATCGTGGGGTTAAGTAGCTTAATTATCTCAGCAGCTAATATTTTTGTATTTCTACGAAGAGACATCTTTTCAAATGGAATACGTGAAAAATAAAAGTCTAAATAGCACGGGCTAGCAGTTTTCGGATTGATCATTCAAAAATAACCAGTGTTTGTAAAGTCATCGAAAAATAGCCATTATTTTGCTGCAACAGGGACCGATCCAGCATAATATACTGGAGATTGGTGCACCTGTGTATGTACTTCTAGCAAATTATGTTGTAACTCCAACGCGCGGAAAATTCCAGCATAATATACTGGAGATTGGAGCACATGTATATGAACTTCCAGTAAACTTATTGTAAGCACGTGATTTTTGCCCTATATGAGAATTACTCCCAAAAAATTCAAAAATAAAATGATTTTTCTTTGGTGTGCAATTTTGTGATGTTTTGTGATATTTTGAATAATTATTTGCATTTATCTGTGCGTGTTTATTTGCTAAATTAATAAAAAAAATACAAAAATATGTCGCATTTTGCATGTAGGATTTAATTCTATAATTGTTACTAATTAAATTTGTTTACAAAAAATGAAAATTACAAAAATAGGCATCTTTTGCATTTTTAGCATTTAATGTCCAAATATACAATTTTATGCTTAATTATTACTTAATTGTGCGTTAATTGTTATTTGGAGTTAATTTGCACTTTTATAACTTAATTTAGTTCTTAATAATAGTTTAAGTATTTTTATAATTTAGTTTTAGAGAAATAAAAGAAGAAAAGAGAGCGAAAATATAAAGAAAGTCGGAATTGGGCCTCTTCTTCGATTTCAAGCTATAGGCCCAAAAAATGGCCCAATCTACCCTACGACCCAGTCCATTTCGAACTGGGTCGACCCAGTCCATTAACCCAACACCCCTTCTTCATTTTTGTCCAACACAAAACAAAACCAAAAAAAAAA